TTTTCACTCAGGCTGGCGTGTGGCATCGGTGTCAGTTCAGTACGCTTCTCTATAAGTGTGTGTGGCCAACCAAGGTGGGGGTGTGGTGAGGTCAAATGCACACAAATTTGACAGCAGGAGGGAGGAACTTGCACAGGCTATTCAGCGCCAAGTTGGCAAACACTGGCTTGCACGCGTCTCCTTTGTTTCCATTTTGCTTCTCCTTCCCAACTGCATGGGCATGCATTATCACGCGTATAATGCTTGCAACTACTTTAGCAAATGCTCCTTCACTTGTCTTTGAATGCCTCGACACATGATAATTGACCGAACTTGGTTTGCACGTTTCACTTGATCTCACTCTTCCACATCAGTTTCTTTCTCGAGCTATGCTCTTTCTTCAGTACGTATGCCAACCGCTGCCTTTAGTGTCTCTACATCATTGGGAACCTCTTCACAGGTGGACAAGAGCTCACTCTGAACTCTCCTTGCTAAGTTGGTTACATGTTGCGAACACTGCTATACCAAAGAGCCTCAATTTGGAGCCACGGCTGGCACTAAAAGTCCAACTGCCCCACTCAGCACCTGACTTGAAAACCACTCACTGCATGGACTCATGACTTCGCATGACATTGAGATGACTTGACTTGGAACTGTTGTGTGTGTAAACCGCTATCACAAGCGAATGTTCAGTCAAACATTGCATGAGTGCATAGAGCGGTCATACAGCAGGGGGCACAGGCCCATCGTGGATACCTGTGCCAATGAAGCTGTTCCATGATGGGGGAAGCGGAGATTGATCACCTCCGTGTACCTGCTGACATTTGTGGCGTTGCGTAAACACATCTCACTCTAGATCTCAGGCTGGTGAGGTTTCAAAGGTGGGCCGATGTTCTTGCACTTTCGTGACGAAGGTTGTGGACTCAGGAAGTTCTGGGCTTTGACACCTTTCCACAGCTCCACCACCAAAATCCTTTCTCCGTGTGTGTGTGTATCCATTGGGTCTTGTACGAAGTCTTGCTGCAAAAACACATATTCATGAAAAAGTGATATCCTGTGTGCTACTGTGTCACGTTGTACGCATTTCCCCGGACCTCTTCTCCAAGTTCTTTGGATTTGTCGGCCTCTGCCTGCAGCAATGGGTGAAGCACTGTGACACTAGGCTACTAAGCCTGTTGGAGATACTCTACAGATCTCTGCACTCACAGTCCCAAATCCGCTCTCGCCTGCTTCACGTCAGTTTCCACTGCTGCAGCCTGAAGGGCCCAACCCTATGGCACTGAAAAATGCATGAAAGCAGCATCTGAGTTGCATGACTGCATCCTGAGAGCCTTTTCAAGTCGTTTCCTTGCCAGAAATCCTAAATTCAAGTCGGCATGCATTATCACGCGTATAATGCTTGCAACTACTTTAGCAAATGCTCGTCCACTTGTCTTTGAATGCCTCGACACATGATATTTGACCGAACTTGGTTTGCACGTTTCACTTGATCTCACTCTTCCACATCAGTTTCTTTCTCGAGTTATGCTCTTTCTTCAGTACGCATGCCAACCGCTGCCTTTAGTGTCTCTACATCATTGGGAACCTCTTCACAGGTGGACAAGAACTCACTCTGAACTCTCCTTTCTGAGTTGGTTACATGTTGCGAACACTACTATACCAAAGAGCCTCAATTTGGAGCAACTGCTGACACCAAAAATCCCACCGCCCCTCTCAGTACCTGACTTCAAAACCACTCACTGCATGGACTCATGACTTCGCATGACATTGAGATGACTTGACTTGGAACTGTTGTGTGTATGCGTTGGGTCTTGTACGAAGTACCCTTGTACGAAGTCTTGCTGCACAAACACATTTTCATGAACAAGTGATATCCTGTGTGCTACTGTGTCACGTTGTACGCATTTCCCCAGCCACAGATCGGAAATCCCCCGATTGGTGGTGCCTATATGGCCCCTTTGGCCTGGCCCCAAAAGGGTGACGAGATAAAATCAGAGCAGCTGCAATCCATGTTGTATGCCCAAAGCGACCGCCCGCACTGCCTTTCACCGCCCCACCACCGCAAAAAAAATAAACTGACCGGACCTCTTCTTGAAGTTCTGCGGATATGTCAGCCACAGCCTGCAGCAAGCTGCCAAAATAGTTTATGAGGATCTTCATCCCCCAAACCCTCAATGGCGCCCAGGACTGCGCATGAAGAGTATTCTATTGGTTCCAGACTTTTGGCTTGAACTGACAGAACATGATCTTCTCGCCTGACCGCTTTGTGGTGCCTCTTCCGCTGAGCAGCCACAGCCCATTATGACCGTCCTGAAGGGAAGGAACTTGAAGGAAATGACTGAGTGCACTCAGTGACTTATGTATGGAATCAAAATACGAAAGGCCCTAGTATGCCCATTTGTACAGTGTCGGAGTCTGGCCTCCTTTTCTTCTCTTAGCGTTCCAACAAAACTTGAACCCAAGGCACAAGTCCAACAGATTTGAGCTCTGTTCTATTATCGCATTGCCAAACTTTGCGCTTTTCTTGCTGTCAAACCTGCCAAATGGATTCAGCAAGTCAGTCTGCGGCTTTGGTTCCTCTGTCCTCCAGTCCCTTCAGGAAATCTGAGGCCTTCGGCTCAGCCTCAAATTTGAGAGGGCATCAAGCTCGGCTCCAAACCTATCAAACAAGAAAATATACGTATGTATTTATTTATTGAAACATCCACTTACCATAGATTTGTTCCGATGCCTTTTGTTGACGGACTTCCGACAGCTGAGGCTGAGCACCGAGTGTACTTCGATCAAGGCTCGCGGCACAACACCGCATGGAGCTATGAGCTTTGTGATGCAAATTGCCTTCTAAGAAGCTGCAAACTGCGGCATGTAGAGCCATGACAGAAAGACGTGTGTTCAATTAGAAGAGTTGATCTTGCAATCATATACGCCTGCCCCTACAGGTCTTCCGATTGTAAATAGGAGTAAGAATAATGTGGCAAAACTCAGCTTAAAGCCGAAGATATGTGCACGACAACCCCTTGCAGGTGGACCTACTGTATCTTCCTGCCGAGCCTTATCGATTTCAGATTGGCACCTAACCTGAAGTGGAACAACACAAAGGGTTGACTGCAAATTGTGGGATCAAATTGGTGTCATCTTGGTGTGAGGCCCTTCACATACGCTGGAGCAGCGAAGAATGCCATGAGGACCTCAGCTGAGACAAAGATCTTCAAGAGACAGAGGAAACCGAACACGAAAGGAAAGGCAGTGTTGGAACGGAAGGAAATATATGGAACACCGTATGTTACGGCCAAGATTCACGTTCATTTTTGGTTGACTCATTGTGGATTGTATGGGATTGTTCTATATAATCTACTCAAATCACGGATTTCCTGACCAGTCATAAAACAAGCTTTGGAAAACCAACATCAAAATCAATCATTCAGGGAGGACAGTAAAACTGGACCAGTGGAGCGACATTCCACATGCTGCACACCGGCATTCCAGTCAGGTACCCCAGCCACTCTTGACCTGAAAAGTGAGAACTCCCTAAGAAGAAACCCTTCTTGAACTCTTGCTCGTCGCAACATGTGCATCACCCAAACAGAGTACAAAACATAAACTCAATAACGTCTACGTCGATCTCATGACCGTTCCGTGATTTTCCATCTGACCGACCCGGGACCTGCGGGGGGGGCCGCCACGGTAGGGAGAAGAATTGGACACGACACTGGCCACCTAGACTCAAACACTGAACGTAACTGCAGGGATCTTATCTGTCAAAGATCTGTCTGTAGTTTTCTCTTTCCTGACACCTATACACTTCCAGTAAACAAAACAAAATAAACAAAACACAAATTCTTTAATGACCCCGTCCGCCTGCACAATCTCTCAGCTGGCATCCACTTCCGGAATCTCAACCAAGTGCGTTTCAGAATTTCTCAAGCTCAGTGAACTCATCAAAATGTGGTGTGTATCAAAATAGGGCGGAGACGGCCCAGTTTGACCCCAGGGAGAAGGAAAATAGACCAAAAGCTATTGGGCCAGGGTGTCTCCCTATTTAAATACACAGCTATACTTCAAGAAAATTGTCACCTTTTCCAATTGCAAATACAAAACCAGACTGCAAAACTCAAACTGCAAAATCTCCGGTGATTCAGTGAATGACATGCCTACGCTGGGGGTTGCGCAGAAATTGTAGACTTGTTTTGGACCGGCTCAAGGATCCTGCGGTATGTCAAGGGTCTGTACAAATGATCTCATGCCTTAGTGCACATGTGGAATCTCAGGTGCTGGATTTCAAACTCCGCTTCTGTTTCGGGCTCGGTCTGTGCATTTCTTACACCTTCTCCGGGTCATGACACCTGCACCCAAGTTCCCACAGCGCGTTGTCCGGTGGTAGCATTCGCCTGTGGTACCTGTGTGGATATGCTCGGGCAAAAGAGGGATCCCCTGTTCGGACCTTGGTGACTCTAAGTTCAACGTGCGGTTTCGCACCATAGGACCTTCCTTTGGTCGTGGCAAGAACGTGGAACTGGCAGCGGAGCTACTGTGATCTACTTCCTCACTCTCACTGCCAGAGTCATTCTTCACCTTCTTCTTCTTTCCTTTTGGTTTGCTCCTGAAGCACAGAGAAAGAAGGTACTCCAGGAAACGAAGAGCTGCGTAGCCACAAAACATCATGGCCATGAGGAACCAGTCAAAGCCTTCCGTCTCGGTAGGCTGCTCTGGTTGAGCTGCTGCAGCTTGAACTATGCTGAACATGAGCATCAATCCCAAAGCTCGCTTGGAGGTCACGCCAATGGGTGCGATGCTCCACAAAGTCTTCTTTCCTTCATTCACTTCCTTCTTGATTTGTTCATCACTCTTGTAGAGGTCGTTCTCATTGACTTCTGCTAGATGCGGCAAGCGGCGAAGAACCATTGGATGATTGGCCACATTGCCAAATTCGATGTAGCCTGAGCTCAAAGCCTTCATCATCATTGGCGAGAGCATAGGTTTGGTGAGGGGATCTGCCAACATGTACTCGGTCGGCGTTAGGATCATGTACCGGATTCGTCCGGTCACTCTGGCTTCCTTTATCGCAAGCACGTACAACCTCTGCTGCTTATCTTGAGGGACTGCTTTGGCTCCTGCGCATAGCTCCCAGTAGCCTTTGCAGTCCGTTGAGAAGTCAGCTGGAAAAAGGTCGGAGCCATTCTCCTGATAGTGAGTCAGGGTCTTCAAACTTGGCTGAGCATCAGGCAGCCACAATTCGGTCAACCTTGTAGAAACCATGCTGCTCGATTCCAAGGCGTTCACTGCTGACAAAGTCTCAGCATGTGAGGTGGAGTAAGAGACTCGCTTGGCTTTTCCGCCATGGGCATAGAGGCTGTGCCCATATCCACTCAACTGGTGCACGGTGTGATCATCACATTCAAGATCATCCTGATGTAGGATGTTGTGAGGAAGCTCATGCGTCAAGGCAATGACCACACCTTCTTGAGCGTAAGTGCGTCCTTTTGATGCTGAGCTGGCGTCATGGATGCACTGCAAACGAAGTGGTGTCTTTGGTGGAAAGAAACGATAACGCAAACCCAGTTCCAACTTGTCCTTACTGCAGGCCTTCAGCACCAACTGATTTGCCAATCGAAGATGGCGTACTTCTGCAGAGCTGACTGCTGATTGCAAAATGCCCACATCAGCGATGATGTCCAACCTGGCGCTGCACAGCCACAAAAGTCCTCCCAGGACTGAGCGAAACTGAGTCACTTCTTCCGGCTTCAACTTCCGATCTTCTGCACCTGGAGGATTGTCTGCAGGTTTCAGGCGAGATGCAAAATCAGCCTGATCAATCTTCAGACCTGTGCATCAACCTTGGCCAAATGGCGCTAGGCATATGCAGGAGGGATGACCACCACAGATCTCTCAGGTGCCTTAATTCCTTGCTCCCTCAAAATCTCTCTGACTCGGTCGAAGGAGAGTCCTTTGAGGAATGCTGCTGCAACATCCCAGCTTTCAGGGCATAGACCAAGAACGGCTGAGGAGCTCATCAACAGACGTTGAGACAATCGTGATGCTGTTGTTGATCTAGTGGCCAAGTCCATGCGCTGAGGATCAAAACATCCGTGACTTCAAAATACGTTTGCCCTGTTTCATCTTCCAGCAACGAATCCAGATGCCGTCAATGACCACAGTGTCAGCCAGAATGTCATCCAGCTTGATCTTTGAGAAGGCACCCTCTGTGACAAATTGCGCCAATTCTTTGGCGTCTGCTTCCTCTACCAGGTCCCAAATAGGAGCTAGGTCTTCTTCTTTCACGCATTCTCCTCTGCCAAGGACATGAAGCTGTGGCCACCATAGAGCTCAACAAAGAAAGCACGGGCCACTGAGCCTGCCAGTTGAACAAGAGGCTTGCAGCGCTTGTCTTGCAAGTGGTCGATCTCTGATTTCACCTTGGCGTTCACAGCCTCCATGGTCATCTTGGAGAGCCAACGTGGCAGTGTCAATGTATCAGCCCAGATCTCTGGCTGATGGAGGCGTACTTGACGACTTCTATCAATCATCCAACGCAGTGTCTGTAAGATCTGCTGTGTGGAGGTGATCTGACTCAAATGTTCCTGCCTTTGCTTCTTCTCTGGTGTTGGCAAAGGTTCCCATCCACTTTCTGGTTCAAGACGCTTGCTCGGAACTGGCACGATAGGATCAACATCCATGTGCTCTGGAGGTGGTGCCTGACTTGTAGTCGGCCTGGATGGTGCCATCGGTGGAGGTTCAGTCCTCATAGGAGTGTTCGAGCGAGGTGGATCAACTGGCTCACCGAGCACCTGCGGGTAGTAGAAGAGGTACATGAAGCATACCGACTCCCAGTGATCTCTGTAGGAGCGCTTCAGCTTGAAAGGCTCATCGTCTTGCTTGTACATCTTGATGTAGTCGGAGGTTCCTTTCAACCAAGCAACAAAAGTTCCACGAGTGCCACCAGGTGGCTTTGCGGTGTGAACAGCCTGGCCATAGAGCACGGCGTGGATAGGGTGATTTGTCCAAGAGCTCCACTTTGAAAAATTGGAAGTCAAATGCGACTGCTCCTCATTCAACTCCTGAGGAACTTGCTTCCATGAAGTGCCAGATGGAGTGTTGATGAGGCGATGCCCAAGAAGAAACTGCTTGTACTGCTGGGAAGCTTCTACCATATGCATCATCTTGTACATTGAACTGCCTGCCTGCTCATCGAGATTGAAGTAGGTGCCTCGGAAAGATCGCACACATCTGATGGGCAGTAGGTATGGCTTTCCTTGGTAGCGAACAATGCACGCGCCATCGTCCTCATTGATCTCTAAGAGTACAGCTGGTCCTCTCCAGGCATTTTCACGATGAATCTCGACCTCACTCACACCAGGTGTCAACTCTGAAGTATCAACTTTGTGAGGCCGAGAACGAGTTGCCCGGGAAATCCGGTCTTCAGCTATGGACTGCTGAATTGCCACCATGGAGATTTGACGAAGTCTCATTGCAGATTCAAACACTGTCAAACTTGAATCTGTTGCTCCAGAGACAGCTGTCAGCGTGGGCGCCTCAAACTCATACAAGGATCGTGGAAGAACGCCAAAGACAGCCGTGCAAGGAGAGTAGCCGCCATAGGTCATGCAGATGTTGTGACTCATTGCGGCTTCAGCTGCAATGTCGGCATCCTCTACGATCATGCTTTGACGTTCAAACTCTGCCTTGACCTTCATCATGGTCAACTTGGTCAAGGAGATGCGGCGTTCCACCAGTCCTGTTCCAGTCCTCTGCTTGGCGGCAGATCCACCGGCTGCAGTGCCTTTTGGATTCCTTTGGATACCCAGGTCAGGACTCTCATGGGTCCAAAGTATCGAATCCAATGAAGAAGAATGCCTCGCAGCATCTCTGAAGTCTCCCTGCTGGTGAGCTCAAAAACCACTTTGTACCTCGTGGCCGAATCAATCATCAGAAAGAAGGTCTTGTTGAAGAGGTAGAAGATGTCCACTTCAACTTCATCACCAAAATGAGCTGCCAAAGAGGTCTTGGATTGTGGCCTGGATGGCAAGCGAGAATAGCGCCTGCAAATGGAGCATTGAGCTACCACAGATGAAGCAGCCTCCACAACTTCTGCTGGCGTTCCTGCTCGTAAAAATAGATTGGCGAAGTCTGCAGCTGGAGCATGCCAAAGTTTCTCGTGTAGGCCAAGCAGCAGACGACGAGCTGTAGCAGG